GGGGTAAATGGAAAGTACAGTGACGCTGCCCTATCTCTTCTAATTTTTGATTGAATGACACCCATTGAAAATCCTGGGAACTTTATTATTTCAGATTTCACATTTTTTTCTTCAAATATCTTATGGGAGAAATAGTAATACATTTCTGTTCTTTAAAACAAACTGGGTATTTTTCCTTGGTTTATTGTTAATAGGATAATATGGGAAGCTGGTCAATTTTTTTTTTTTTTTCTTTTTCTTCTTCATTCTTGTGGTTTCCATCATCCAATGCCCTAAGCAGAACAAATTCTCCCTTGGGTTGGAAGAGTTTTGAAGCATTTAAGGCTTTAATGATCTTCAGTTATATTCACTTCTTGAACAAAGCAGCTGTAGAAGCATACATTGACAATGGAAATCAATCAGTTTTAGGCAGCAGAAACTTCCACCACAAGGAGAGAGATATGTATTTAGGTGGGTACTCACTCTTCAGTTGACAAAATAGGTAGTTTCCTGGAACTAAATGTACTGAACCAGAACCAGAGTCAGGATTTTCTTTTTGCTGGGGCATTCTGATGATTTCTATTTACCACTGTGGTCCTTGGGCAAAAGTCATGATTATATTGTTCAAACATTGTTTTTTTTTATTAGCAGAAAGTTAGTAAAATCATTTTCAATGGAAAACAATATATAAAAAGACCTTAAGCATTGTTTTCTACTTTTCAGTTCCATTTCATTCAACAGCCATTATTGAATGTTGTTCAGTGCCAGAGTCTGTATTAAAGGTGATAATATAACATACACACAAACAGCTTAAGGAACCAGTTCTGTAATTTAGGAATACATTACAGATTGAAGAGGCAAGATATAAACACGATATAAAGGCTATATAACAAACAGATTAAAAGCAATGGTTCTTATGCAATAATGCTATAATAATTTTTATTTTCATATAAGATTGTCTACAGATAGTTTTGGCTATTATCAGAGATAATAATATTAGTAATAGATAGCATCTGTTGAACACTATTTGCCAGACACTTTCTTACATCGTCTTAATCCTTATAAAATCTTTGTAATAGAGGTATTGCTATCTTTTATTTCAAGATGAAGAAACTGAGGCTCAGTGAGGGTAAACAATTTTAGCAAAATAACAACTTAGTAAGTTTGAAGGCAAGTAAGTGTGAAGTGTTTTGAGCCCAGCTTTGCTTGGCAGTTCAGCCCACATTTCTTACCATTGTACTAAAAGTCTAGAGTCAATTTCCAAGGAAGTTGGAGCTAATGGTGAGTGTGTTAGGAAGAATGATCGATGCTATGACATGTTCTAGACAAAAGATTGACATTACATCCTCCATCCCCAGTGTTTATCTTTGTGCTATCATTGTGACTTAGACCACTTAATCATTATTACATACAAGTTAAAGGATAAAGTATTTTTATAATGAATGAAAAAATTTTACTGTTTGGACCAAATGATATTAGAAAATATTTTTGATCTCTCTTCTAAGAACACAAAGGGATAAGAGTTCAACCGTTGGAACAGTGATTGAAGGAGTATTTGTAAGGCTCTAGGTCTAAACTATTCCAGGCAAGTGCAACTTCAAACAAAAGTGATATGCACACAATGCATGCAACTGTTTACTTTTCATCTCTTTTTTTTCTATTCCCCAAGCATTCATCTCTTTAAGCCAAAATGCTCAGTGTACTAGGGATGTGAGAGCAAGAGTGACTTAGGGTTCCCAATCCAGTGCCAGACATGAATAGTTTCATGGGTTCCTTGCCCTTTCATCTCTACCTTTGCTTCATTATGAGTCTACTTTTCTAGGTAATCAGTGGTAGCAGGTTCATTCCTAACAATTGTGGGACCTGAGGTGAGAGTATAAATGAAGGCCTACACATTTTGTGTCGTTATTATTTATCATAAATCAAATAATTTTTATTAAAATATGACCTATCCTCCCACTTTGACAGAAATATCTTTATAATAACTTGGATGGACAGGTGAAATGTTAGAATTTTTGGACTCCTCAGGAGTATGATGGCACGGGGAGAGGTAGACTCCATCCTTCAGCCACTCCTCCTTTAACTAGTTCTGTCCAGTATCACAGGAGGCTTTGAACACAGTGAAAGGACACTTAACTCACACATCCAGCATCCGTGCATTCTTTCCTCAAACATCTACACCTGGCCCACCCATCCTTGCTAGGTATATACACATTGCTCTCACAGTCTGTTGACTGGGAGACAGAACTGGAAAGATGATATCATAGGCTCTTGATGTGGGCTTAGGGCAATTTGGGGATGAACTTCTGGGATCACAAGAATCTGGATCATGTCTTCTCTAGAAGAAAGGAGCACAGGTCCACATGGGTACTTCTCTGTAGACTTTGCCTGTTGGGGGCAGGGTGTGGGGTATGGCCAGAGAAGAGCCAGAGTCCTCAGCAAATATTTATTGGTTTCTCTCTGTGTGTCTGTACTGTGATCGCATGAGACATGAGTGAACAAATCGAAGTGCTTGCCCTTGCAGAGCTTATATTCTGAGAAAGGGAGAGATAGATTATAAATTACTAAATGTAGTAAGTGTATGCACTATATAGTACATTAGAACATGAAAAGTACTGTAGAGACAATAAAAATTAGAGCAGGAAAAGGTGGGAGAGTTGTCATGTTAAGTAGGTCAGTCAGCATTGGCTTCAGTTGAGAAGGTGAAATTTGAGAGGGAAAAAAAAAAACAAAAACTTGAAGACATTGAGGAAATTAACCAAGAAGATAACAAAAGGGAGAGAAACTCAGGCCTTTAAGATTATAGTGAGCACCTTGAAGTGGGACCACACTTGGCATGTTATAAGAACATGGAGACCAGCAAAACTGGAATGGTGTGAGCAAGGTAGACAGTTAAAAAAAAAAAAAAGTTATGAAAAGAAATGATGACCAGATCACATAGTGCTGCACTGTGCATCAGAACTATAATGATAGCCATAAAGGTATAATTTTAAATTTTTGTGTAGCCATAATAAAAACATAAAAAGGAAGGTTAAAATGAACTTTAATAATGCATTTTATATAACTCAATTTATTTAGAATGTTATCATTTCAACCTGTAATCTTTGAAACCAAGAGTACATTTTATACTTACCACACTTCTCAATTAATACCAGCTACACTGCAATTGTTTGATAACCAGATATGTCTAGTTGTTGCTACACTGTGAAGAAAAGATAGATTTTGACTCATCATTGAAAGAATTTTGTCTGTTACTTTGAGTGACTTGGGAGATGGTTCAGGATTTTAAGAATTGAAGTGTCATGATTTGATTTGTGTTTAAAAAATGATCGGGTCAGGGGTGCCTGGGTGGCTCAGTTGGTTAGGCGACCGACTTCAGCTCAGGTCATGATCTCACAGTTCATGAGTTCGAGCCCCGTGTCAGGCTCTGTGCTGACAGCTCAGAGCCTGGAGCCTACTTCAGATTCTGTGTCTCCCCTATCTTTACCCTTCCCCTGCTCAGGCTCTGTGTCTCTCTGTCTGTCAATAATAAATAAACGTTAAAAAATGATCAGGTCCAGCCTTAATTGAGAATGCATGATAAGGGATAAAAAATAGAGACCTATTGCAGTAATCTTGATAAGGAACAATCATGGCTCAGATGAAAACAGTGGCTGACATAAGAAGTGGTTGAACCTCTGATCATTTTAACGGTACAACAAATAGGATAGATTGCATTTGGTGTGTGAGAGGGGAGTCAAGAATGACCCCAAGACTTTGGCCTAAATAATAGGAAGGATGGATTGAATGAAATGAGAAAGACTGCTGGAGGATGGGGGCAAAGAAGATGGGTGTTCAGGTTTGGATAGGTGTATCTAGGAAGTCTATGAGGCATTCAGGTGAAGATGTGGGGTATGCAGTTAGATTTGAGTCTGGAGTTTAGCAGACAGGTTAGAGGCAAAAGTTTGGAGATCATCCAGCTTGAAAGTAGACAAAGTCACCAAGGGAATGAGAGAGGATAGATAAGATAAGAGGTCTAAACTGACATGAAATTGATATTAAAATAACATCAAACAGGAGCGCCTAGGTGGCTCAGTTGGTCAAGCATCCAGCTCTTGGTTTCATCTCAGGTCATGATCTCATGGTTCGTGAGTTTGAACCCCACATTGGGCTAAGTCATGACAGCTCAGAGCCTGCTTGGGATTCTCTCTCTCTCCCTCTGCCCCTCCCTTGATTGCTCTCTCTCTCTCAAAAGAAATAAAGTTATTTTTTAAAATACATCTTCAAACATTTTACCACTTTTGTATATTTATTTTTTTAAATCTTATTGCATATGTTCATAACTGTCATGATCTTGTTTATTTTACTGAAAAACTGTAACTTTAGATGAAGCCTGAGGGCTGTTTTTTGTGACTTTTTTTGCTTTAAAAAGGTGTTACAATCCTTCCAGTCATTAGCTTATATTACATTAAACAATAGACAGTAAAAATAAAAATTGTAGTTGTAATTAAATTAGAGATCATTATCAGTCTTTAAAACGTATTTTTCATATATGGGTTTCCCAGAGATGTATATGTTAACTTTGATAACTATAGCATTAAGCACCAATAAGGTTTAAAATCTGTCCCGTAGTCTACAAACTAATGCAGCTTTGTTTTATTTGTGATAAGCTCATTCATTTGCTTTTTTTTTTTTTTTTATAAAAAGTTAGGTTGATGGCTAGGCATTCTTACCGAACTTTAGTCTTTCAAAGAATGAGATATTTATTCCTTAAATTATATTCAAATTCTAGGTAGGAAGAATGTTTCATCAAAAATATCCATTATTTTACTGTAAACACACTTTGGACTTTTCTAACCCTCTGCGATCTGTGATCTTATATTATCCAAGTAATTATTTACGATATAATGTGGAAATTAGTGTATTAAATTAAAAGCTAAAAAGTAGAATTGAATAACTTATTTTAATCTAAATGACAACATAAACATACTGACAAATAATCTCTAATTTTTTAACAAAAGGAATTGTTTGTTTCTTTTCAGTCTATTCGAGAAGTTACAGGCTACGTGTTAGTGGCTCTTAATCAGTTTCGCTACCTGCCTCTGGAGAATTTACGCATTATCCGTGGAACAAAACTTTATGAGGATCGATATGCCTTGGCAGTATTTTTAAACTACAGAAAAGATGGGAACTTTGGACTTCAAGAACTTGGACTAAAGAACTTGACAGGTAAGGAAAATATACAAAATTTCAAATATGCTTTCATTATCAATAAAATGCAATAGGCATGCACATATGTGTGTCTGGTTACTGTAGTATGTGTTATATTCAGGAACACTATAAAGGACTTAAGTATCTACTACTTACTCATTTTATGGGAAATAATGCCTTGTGATGCCCTTGCTTTTATTTACAGGTATTGTAAGTGCAGTCTGAAGGATACCATAATACTGTATCTCAGCTGAACAGAAGTACATACTAAGGAAATGCTCAGTGACTGAAAACTGAGATAGGAAGCAAGTTTAAGAATGCTATGTTTGGTGGTCTCAGGTGAACAGTGGACCATATCATCAAATCTCTGTAATAAATAACACCATAACCCTCACTCTCGTTGGAGCTCAGTAAATATACAGCCTTTATATCTACCTCCACTCATCTAGTTTTTTTGCACAATCCCTTATTTTTGGAAAACATAGCTAATATATTAATTTAATTTTGACTTATCTTATTCAGTAACTCACTAAATGCCATTAGAAATTGTTTCTTAGAATGCTTCAATTTCATCAGTGATTTACCCCCAGCCCAAGACGGGAAAAAGGTAATTGTTAACAACCTAAAATTATCATCCTGCTCCAAAAAACAAACAAAACAAAACAGAAAAAACACTTTGTAGGAATGTATTTTGTAAGCTGGTCCTCACAATCCTGCAGATATCTTTTCAGTCCATGTCGTTCATAGTTCACAAAGGCTATGGTAGGAGGTTTGGAACAAGGTTTCTAACCATGAATTTTGCTATTCGTGCCTATAAACAAGTAGTGCTAATTAGTAACTATCATTTCATAGTGGGATAAAGGAGTTTAAACTATGAATTTAACCTAAATTAATATCATATATATTTTTCATCAAAATATGTAATGATTTTATGTGTTTTTGAGGCCACTCAGTGGTAATGTTTCTTGATATTAAGATATTTAAATTAAAATTGCCTTCAAATACTAAATAAAAATAAGATTGATATTTTCAGGTTACTAAAATTATTTGTTTTGTTCATTGACAGTGGTTATAAATATATAATTTTAAGTTAGAAATAGCTTCATAGTTGGCCAAACATGTGAACTAAATTTGGATATTTTGGATGAAGAAAGGAAGACTGATTATATAACTTATTTTGATCATGATTGCTATAGAATTGATGACATAATGGTAAATGCAAATTATTCGGAATTTATAGAATCCTTCATTAACATTTTACTTTTTTATTCTTTCCTTTCAAATATAGTTTTTTTACTGAAGAACAGAGTTTTTGGCTAAATCGCTACTTGCATGGAAATAATGATAGGAAGAAGAATTTTAGAAATGCAATGGATAGAGAAAAAATGAATGATTAAAGTAGGAATCTAAAAATAACCTGGTTAAAACTTTCATAGGAAGAATTATAGTTTATTAAATGATTTTTCCTCTATTTACATTAAAGAAAAAAATGAAAATATTTTAAACATTTTATAATACATGAATTATGTTTTTCTATAATATGTTCTATTTGAACAATCTTTGCATACAGAAAATCAGTCTTTAAAGAGCTTTCTCCTTGGGATGCCTGGTTAGCTCAGTTGGTTAAGTGCCCGACTCTTGGTTTCAGCTCAAGTCATGATCTCACAGTTTCTGAGTTCAAGCCCTGGGTGGGACTCTGTGCTGACAGTAGAGAGCCGGCTTGGGATTCTCTCTCTCCCTCCCTCTCTGCCCCGCCCCTGTTCATGCTCACTCAGTCTCTCAAAATAAAAAAAACTTAAAAAGAAATAAAGAGCTCTCCTACTTATTATTAATTTAACATTAGTACTACTAAAATATGTTTTAAGTTATCCAATCAAAATTATGCCACACTTAAACATACTTTATTTATTAAGTGAGCTCACACTGTGATTGCTTATGATTATGACAGTTAGTTTATGTCATACCAAAACACAACACTGTTATTTCAAGAACATTATTCCCTATTCTGCCAGAAAGTCTTATAATACTTTTGGTGCATGCATTAGTAGAAATGAGTAAATAATAAGTGGCTAAGAGAATGAGTTGATTGTTTAGGAAAAAAAAGTAATGTATTTGTTCAAGAGTTATTATTCATTTCTTTTTGAATATGAAGAAAAGTTCAATATAATAAACAATGGAAAAATTAGACAATTTGGAAAATTTCCAGGCATATTATATATTTATTAGGTGGCTGAGAATTACATTTGAACATCAGTCTAGAGTCACTGATCTTACTCTATGTAATTGGGTCAATAGTGTAACTCCAATTTTGAAAATCAGAAGTCACTCAGTAAGCATGATTCTGTTTGTGTAAGAATATATGAGGAAAGATTGAAGACACCTAACTGTTCATATAAACAGGAATTGGGGAAGAAATGTGCTCTTTAGCAGTATCTTAAAGAGCTAAGTGTTCTAGGTAACCAGCAAACATTGCAATTGACTTCAGATAAGATTGTTTTGTGTTTTGGAAAGGTATTTGTTTTATCTTATTTGTTTATATGCTATACAAAGCAAGCTGATAAAAATTAAAAACAATTTAAGTGTTATATTAAGTGTAGGGCTAGAGGGCTGGCCTTAATTTTAGGCTTATCTTGTAATATGAAGGTAAATAGAGAACATGCTGAGTAGTCAGATATCTCATTATTTAATTGCCCTACTGAATTAAAATTTTATCCCAGTCTTTTTTGTTTGTTTGTTTAAACTGTTTATTTTTGAGAAGGAAAACAGTAGGTGAGCGGGGGAGGGGCAAAGAGAGGAGACACAGAATCCAAAGCAGGCTTCAGGTTCTGAGCTGTCAGCACAGAGCCTGATGCAGGGGTCAAACTCATGATCCTTGAAATCATGGCTTGAGCTGAAGCTGGACGCTTAACTGACTGAGCCACCCATGTGCCTCTAAAATTTTAATTCAGTTCTTAAAGCACCAACTGCTCCTCAGCATCACCTGGGTACAATTACAAATGCAAGTTTTTGGGCCTTACCTGAGACCTAATGCATCAGAAAGTCTTGTGATGGAGCCCATCAATATGTGTTTTAAGGATCTTTTCAATGATTCTAATGACCACAAAAGTTTGAGAAACACTGTTCTAATTAAATGTGTGTTACCAAGAGATGGTAGTATAATGTCTAGTTAACCTCTTTACATTTACTTTCTAAATAATTTTCATTTACTTATCATCCCCTAGAGAATGGGACAGAGAACAGATAAGTTTGTGCTTTAATGATGGAAAATACTCCTTTGATTGTGGTGAGAATGGAAAGAACATAGTAGGAACCTGGATGGAAACATGGGTATGAAAGAGATCAGAGAGAGGAAGATGCTGGGAATAAATTTTCTTCTGTATTGCCATTTGTCAACTTTGCATAATGGTAAACTATTACGGGGATGATAATAATCATGGTGAATTTTCTTTTTAAGCAAAATTTTATTTTTAAGCACTTTCAACAAGATAAATAACAAATACTAGCTGTGGGAATAGGAAGTATGCAATGTTGTGACAAAGAATTTTGAGGTTAAGATTTCAAAGCTTTTGCATATGTATATATGTATATATACATATGTATGTATATGTATATACATATGTATATATACATGTATCTATATATACATATATATGTATACATATATACACGTGTGTGTGTGTGTGTGTGTGTGTATAATTTTTGTTTCTCCTGAAATCTTTTTGCAGTGTTGACCTTGGAATAATACACCTTTATGATTTATTACAGTTGTCTCCTTCAAACTATCTTTGTGTAAAATGGATATTCAGTTAACATGAGGACTGTCATATATAAGGGTTAATAGTTGGATGCCACTTAACACACACATAAATTAACTTTGACCTTACACATTCTTATTAATTAGCTTGATGTTCGCCAAAAGCTATTCTTTGGACTATAAACATGACTATAGATCTTACTTAGATACTTTCATTTTGGTTGTACCCAAAGACAAGAAACACACTTAAACATATTTTCTGGATAAAGAAGAAAATTTGTTTGACTGCTACTGCTCACATTTCCCTGATCCGTTATCAGTTAGGTCCAGGAGAGTGGAGAAGAGTCAGATTCTCTAAGCTAAGGATATGCCACACAATCTAAAAGGGAATGACGAACTGTCTTGGCAGTCTCTAGGTGCCTTATTATGCTGGGTCATCATTTCTGATCAGGAGCGAGACCATATTTCTGTCAATGTGTCCTTCAGGCATGTGATCATCTTGAGGCCATTGGGAACGACAGTACTGAATCAGAGGAGCACAAAACTGGAGAGATTTCATTATTTCCTTTGTTAAGGTCACTTGCATATATATGGCTGTGTGGATTTTATTAATCATTCCCACAATGATGTTCTGCTGATTTTTTTTATCATATCCTTCTTAACCAAATATTCTTATTCTGAATTCAAACTATCTAATATATTCAAACATAAAATATATTTACAACTTTAATTCTATGAGCTTCTACTTATTTAGTTACCTGTCTGGCCAGAATTTAAAGATTATTTTATTATATGGGGCATAAAAATGCTATTATATTCTCCTTTCTAGAATTTTATAAAATTACCTCATCTGGATAATATTATACAATTTTTTATCTCTATGTGCTATTGTAGATATGAAGGAGTTTTTGAGAAATACCTATGTTCATATCTATACTACTGTTCATATTCTATTTATGCAATGATAACCCGGGTACAAATTTAATACATAAAAAAGTGCATTTTTCTCATCAAATTTCACCTTGAATATTTGAATTCTCATTTTATGAATTATGAGAATATCTATTTTGAGTAGATGAAACTTGAGGGGATATCAACATACAATTTATGTTTCCCAAATATTAGCCAAGTACTCTATATATTTTCAGACCAACACATTTATGTATTAGTACCTTTACTATTTTATTGCTATTCTAATTTTTTGGTTAAGTGTGTACTGCATCATCTTGATTATATTATTATTTGATATGTCAACAAACATCTT